ACCGTCTGCCCTGTCCAGTTTGCTCTGTATCCCCCTGCTCTGTGCTCCTGCCTTGCTCCCTCTGCTCTGTGCCCCCTTCCCTGTGTCTGCCTGTGCACCCCTGCTCTCCTGTGTTTCCTGCCTTGCCCCTCTTGCTCTGTGCCCCCTGCCCTGTGTCCACCTGTGCACCCCTGCCTTCCTGTGTTCCCTGCCCCTCCTGCTCTGTGGCCCCTGCCCTGTGCTCCAGTGCACCTCCCTGCCCTGGACACCCTGCCCTGCACTTTGTGCCCCCTGGCACAAACCTTGAGCCTGAGGGTTAAGCAGGTTAGAGAGCTTAGAATGGTCCAAACAGGGAAGTTTGTGGTTGCAGTTTATTTCTGGCCCTGTTTTCTGCGTGTTTGCAGTGCTCTGTGGGGTTAACTCAGAGCCAGCACAGCTCTCAGGGTGGGTGTTTGAGAGGTTTTGTGCTGTCTGCTGAGTCCCTGAACCAGCCCAGTGGCTCTACTGCCCCAACCACTCTGTGTTCTAAGCCAGGGCCTGTTGAGCACTTAAATTCCACCTGGGAGAGGAGAAGTGCCTGGAGCTCTTCCTGCTGCTTTCCCACGAGGAAACTGCTGTGCTCTGCAGCTCACACTGGTTTTAGCAGAGTGAAATCCCTCGGTGAGCAAGTGTAGGTGTTTACCTTGCTGGTTAACCTCCTTATTTCCAATAACTGTTGCTATTCCAGATAAGCTTTAACCACAGAGTGAAAGGATGTGATATTCCAGAGCCTAGGGTAACCATCTGCTGTGTGCTGGGAGCACAAATCCTTGGGCTAGATGCAATCTCCAGGGCTGGGTGATGTTCCACCTGCTGGTTCCCTGCTAAACACTAAACCAGGAGCAAAAAGTGGTGTGAGTGAACCTAGAGGGGGGTGTGAGGTTCTGCCAGGCTGGCACAAAATCCCTTTATTGCTGCAGGAGAGCTTAAACACAGTTATTTATAGCTGTTTGGACAGGTTTGCAGCTGACCTGGGACTGTTCCTTTTCCTACCCTATGGGGCTGCATGGTATTTCATGGTTTCTGTGTCTTTGTGCCACCAAGCTGTGACCAGAGCACAAACACAGAAGGGAAAACAAAGTGGTTATTTTTACTTCATTTTTAAATTCTTCCACATATAATTTGTGCTTCAAAACTGTGACAAGGAAAATGTTTTTGTGTATTATCTTGCCTTCTGCAGATGTGCTTAAAATACTTTGTTATAGTTATAGGGTTCTAACAGGAGAGTTTATTTATCTTCTCATGGCTAAGAGGTTTTCCACCCCTAGTGCTAAGCTTTCCCTTCCCTGTCAGTGCTTTGTATTCTGTACTCAAACCTTGGCAACTCCTTTTATTCTTTCAGATGAAGCACTTCTAAGTGGGCTCCCTGCAAGTGAGATGTCAGTTAAGGAGCTGTGAAAGTGATGAACTTATTATTAAGATAAAAGCAATGAGATCTTGAAGCTGATTTAGCACATGAGAGTGAAATCAGCTGAGGAGTTAGGTGGTTGCATGTTCCCTGCAGAACAATACCTTTATGTCCTCGTGGCCCAGGAGCCTGACACATTTCTACTCTCCACCTCCCCAGGAGCCTGACACGTTCCTACCCTCCACCTCTCAGCAGTGCAGTAGCAGAGGCTGAACAAAGAGCTGCTGCTGCAGCAGGTGCTGGTGGGCAGCACCCTTGGAATGCTAATGATGCTGAAATTAGAGCAGGTATCAGAGTGCCTCAAGTGTCACGATGCAGGCTTAAACTTGGTAGAAGAAGTCTTGTGTGGCGCTGTGGGGAGGAGAGAGAGGATCCTTCCCTCTGCAGTCCCTGGTGATGCTGGAGGCTGTCAGTGTGGGAGTGCTGGTAATTCCAGGGTGCTCAGCTGGTTCATCTGGGACCCTTGATTGCCCTGGGAGCCTCACCAGCTCCCACCACTTCTCCTGATGGTGGAGACAGGTCCCGCTCCCTGCCTGTTGTATATTACTTTGTATGTTAAGGATTGGAATGGAGCTTAGAGATTGTCCAGTGCCAACCCCCTGCCCTGGGCAGGGACACCTCCCACCAGAGCAGGTTGCTCAGGACTTTAGCCAACCTGACTGTGAACAGTGCTGGTCCCTGCCACAGCCTGGGCAGAGGGGGGCACAGCCAGACTGGGCTGCTCTCCAGTAGCACTGAGTAGACACCAATTTAACTGCACAGTGTAGTTTAAGAACTTCTAGAACTTTATCTGAAATAAGCCAGTTCTACAGTTGTCTCAGTTTACTTCTATTTCAGTTACTATTCAGTTTTCTCAAATCTCTGGTGTAGAGTCATGGAATCTCCTGAGCTGGAAGGGACCCACAAGGATCAAGTCCAATTCCAGGCCCTGCACAGACATCCCAGCAATCCACTCTGTGCCTGAGAGCATTGGTCAAACACTCCTTGAACTCTGTCAGCCTTGGGGCTGTGACCCCTGCCCTGGGGAGCTGTTCCAGTGCCCAAACACCTCCTGTGGGAAGAATCCTTGCCTAATATTGAACCTAACCTTCCCCTGACAGCTGTAGCCATTCCCACCAGTCCTGTCTCTGGTCACAGGGAGCAGAGATTGGAGCTGCCCCTTGTGAAGAAGTTGCATACCCCTGAGGTCTCCTCTCAGTCTCTTCCTGCTGAACCCAAATGCCTTTGCCACTCCTTGTATGGCTCCTCTAGACTCTTCACCATCTCTGTGTCCCTCCTTTGAACACTCTCTAACAGCTTTAGATCTTTCTTGTATTGAGGGTGCCCAAACTGCCCCAGGCCTGGAGGTGAGGTCACACCAGTAGAATCCTCTCATGTAGTCAATGCAGTAGATAACAGACACTGTACTCCAGAGCAAAACAATGTGTTGGCATTGGTTTTTTTTAAGTCAGAGGTGAATAGAGCATAGAGTGTGAACAAACTTTTGAGTGTGCTGGATTTAAGCTGCATGAAAAAGCATCACATGGAGGGGTTGGAAAGGAGAACTGGGGAGTGATAAAGACAAAAGTGGAATAAATCCTTTCCACATGTTATGTGTGAGTAAGGTGAGTGATGGAGTTGCTGAGTGGAGCCAAGTAACAGGTTGTTGTGTGTCCCAGATGGACCAGCCGTCCCCCCACTACATGCTGGCCAACCTGACGCCGCTGCACTGCGAGCAGCTCCTGCAGGGCCTCAACCTGCTGCGGCAGCACCACGAGCTCTGCGACGTCACCCTGCGCGTGGGCGAAGCCAAGATCCACGCACACAGGGTGGTGCTGGCCAGCATCAGCCCCTACTTCAAGGCCATGTTCACCGGGAACCTGTCAGAGAAGGAGACGGCAGAGGTGGAGTTCCAGTGCGTGGACGAGGCGGCGCTGCAGGCCATCGTGGAATATGCCTACACCGGCACCGTCTTCATCTCCCAGGACACTGTGGAGTCGCTGCTCCCCGCGGCCAACCTGCTGCAGGTGAAGCTGGTGGTCAAGGAGTGCTGTGCCTTCCTGGAGAGCCAGTTGGACCCCGGCAATTGCATCGGCATCTCACGCTTCGCTGAGACCTATGGCTGCCACGACCTCTACTTGGCGGCCAACAAGTACATCTGCCAGAACTTTGAGGAGGTGTGTCAGACTGAGGAGTTCCTGGAGCTCACGCACTCGGAGCTGGACGAGATCGTGTCCAATGACTGCCTGAATGTGGTGACGGAGGAGACGGTGTTCTATGCCCTGGAGTCCTGGATCAAGTACGACGTGCAGGAGCGGCAGAAGCACCTGGCACAGCTGCTGCACTGCGTGCGGCTGCCCCTGCTCAGCGTCAAGTTCCTCACCAGGCTGTACGAGGCCAACCACCTCATCCGGGATGACCACACCTGCAAGCACCTCCTCAACGAGGCCCTCAAGTACCACTTCATGCCTGAGCACAGACTGTCCCACCAGACCATGCTGATGACGCGGCCTCGCTGTGCTCCCAAAGTGCTCTGTGCCGTGGGGGGCAAGGCTGGGCTCTTTGCCTGCTTGGAAAGGTAAGGAGTGCTGGGGGGGTCCTGCCTGGTGGATACCACCCTGGCTCAGGGCTAACACAGCCTTTGGGGAGCTGTGGGTTCACAGAACCAGCAGGGTTGGAAGAGACCTTCAAGATCTTTGAGTCCCACCATAGTTTGCAGGATGCAGTTGCTCCTTTCCTTCATAAGAGCTCTTAAGTAGATTTTTCTTTGAACAAGAGCAAGCCTTGAATTCAAAATGCTTTTGTTTTCATGACTAACATGCACTGTTAAAGGGTTTTGTTTGTGCCAACACACATAGGTATAAAATTATATAATTTTCATTCCGTTGATTGAAAATTTGGTTAATCACCTAGGTAATGAAAGTTTGTCTGGTACTTCCTTATCCTTTCAGGTGTTTTCAGTTTATATAATTTCCCCTTGATTTATTACTATTCCAGACAATCAAGTCAGAAAATTTAACCTAATATATGACGAATATGCTTCCTGATAACTCAAAAAAATCCCTGGAATTAAACCAGACTTAATTAGAGAGGAGTGAAGGAGGGGAAAAGGAGGCTCAAGGAGGACCTTATCCCTCTCTGGGGGAGCTCTATGTTCTTTTTCCGTATGTTAAGAGGTGCCAAAGTTATTTGAAGCTAATTTTCCCAACAATAGGGACTGATATTAAACTAGGTGTTGGGACTGGGATTTGTTTGGTTTATGGATTTAGAAAATAAAAGGTACTTGTGCTTCATAAAAACCTGTTGGAGTGAATAAAGTCATTCTCTGGTATTTCTCAGCTCTGCTTCTCCAATGATTGCAGCAATGTTACATACCAGTGTCACTTGGGTTATTTTGGTTTGGTGGCTGCCCCAACCCTGGTGGTGTACAAGACCAGGCTGGATGAAGCTTTGAGCAACCTGATCTAATGAGGTGTCCCTACCCATGGCAGGGAGGGTTGGGACTAGATCTGCAAGGTCCATTCCAACCCCTAAATTCTGTGATTATTTTTTTTTTGCTTCACAATAGCAAAATAACCTAGAATTTATTTATATTTTATGTTTGATTTCTATTTATTTTATTTAGTTTCTGTTCTCTAACTGGTGTCCAGCACCAGCCTGGGCTTTCAGCAGCCCCTGCCCCTGGGTTCTGAGTGGTTCTCAGCTCTACAGGGCCTCATGTTCTTCTATGCTTTTTGAACAGATCAGATTTCCTGGCACTAGATAGTCTCTTAATCATTTAAGTAATTTATTAATTAAACTAGGTAGGTTAAATTAGGTTGACTAGATTCTATATGGGGTAAATTAGACACACTGTATTCTGAGTACAATTGAAAGGAAATGCAATAAAGAGTACTTTGAAAACAGATTTTTCAAATTAAGTTGTTTTACATTGAGATTTTATTTAAAAAATACAGAGCATTTAAAATGTGTATTTATAAACTGCAAGTTGCACTTCCTGAGTTATATTTGTCTGTACGTATAGAATTATAGAACCGTAGAACCGTCAAGGCTGGAGGAGACCTCTAAGATCATCAAGTCCAATCATTAATTTGTCACTGCTGTAACCCCTAAACTGTATCCTCCAGCACCAGATCCAGATGCCTCTTAACACCTCCAGGGGTGGTGACTCCACCACCTTCCTGGGCAATAGTCCAGTGCCTGGCCTGAACCCCAGGGAAGAACCTTTTCCTACTATCTACTCTGAATCATTACAGACATGTGCTTCCCTCTCTCAATTTCCTCTTCTCCCTCCCATCTCTGTGACTGCACTTGTTTTTTTCACTTCTTCTACTCTCTCTGGTTTGTGTCGGTTTGCTCACACAGCCCTTGTTCTCCTGTTGCAGTGTGGAGATGTACTTCCCCCAGACAGACTCGTGGATCGGGCTGGCCCCTCTGAGCATCCCTCGCTATGAGTTCGGGGTCTGTGTGCTGGAGCAGAAGCTGTATGTGGTGGGAGGCATTGCCACCCACGTGTGCCAGGGCATCAGCTACCGCAGGCACGAGAGCTCGGTGGAGCGCTGGGACCCTGACACCAACACCTGGACGTCGCTGGAGAGGATGTCCGAGAGCCGCAGCACGCTGGGGGTGGTGGTGCTAGCAGGGGAGCTCTATGCCCTGGGGGGCTACGATGGTCAGTCCTACCTCAGAACTGTGGAGAAGTACATCCCCAAGGTGAAGGAGTGGCAGGTTGTGGCCCCCATGAACAAGACGAGGAGCTGCTTTGCTGCTGCAGTGCTGGATGGGATGATCTATGCCATCGGGGGGTATGGCCCTGCCCACATGAACAGGTGTGTGCTGGGGGTATAGCCCTGCCCACATGGGCAGGTGTGTGCTGGGGCTATGACCCTGCCCACATGGGCAGGTGTGTGCTGGGGGTATAGCTCTGCCCACACGGGCAGGTGTGTGCTGGGGCTATAGCCCTGCCCACCTGGGCAGGTGTGTGCTGGGGGTATAGCCCTGCCCACATGGGCAGGTGTGTGCTGGGGCTATGACCCTGTCCATATGGGCAGGTGGGTGCTGGA